AAGGGCGACCTCGCAACTTTCTCGAACAACACGCTGAAACAATTACTTCCACTGCTGGCAGTTATGTTTGTAATCGACCGTCTACAGTCTTCAGATGCAGGGCGCGCCAGGCGATGCTCGCTCTCCACCAAATGCTGAAGCCGGCAGGCGACCGTAACTGGTGGAAAACTGGCAGGCGCTGTCGTGTAAAAAAAATCAGCTATGTGATGTGATGGGCAAAGGATACCTCTTCGTCACTGACGTAGTTCTGTAATAAGGACGTGCAATGTTCAGTGGCAATAGCTCCAAGCGCTTCAGCACATTCATGTCGGACCATACAGTTCTAAACAGGTATATTATGAAATGGAACTACTGTACACCAGCGCCGAGGAATCGATCTCCGTGATTGTCGAACACGGTAAAAGAAGGGTATTCGGTTAAAAGAAATACGAAAGGTGAAAAAATGCAGCCGTATGCACCATAGCCTTCACTCAATCAGCCTTCAGCATCAAGACATGTAACAGAACCAAAAATGAAGGAAGGTAGAATGCATGCTCACCTCCGAAAGAAGGGTCAACCGGTCTTCCAATTCTTTGATCGCCACTGGAGACTGTGCCTGACCTAGCACGTAGGCAACCTTCATGCCGCAGCAGTGCACTGTCTTCACAGTAAAGTCCTAAACATAGAATCCGCAGTAGCGAATGAAGAGGAATCAATAAAAGAGCAGTCTTGTTCATTGCGGATGAAGGGGCGTGTCAGGCGGGATGGGTTTGGCGCGGCTCCAAGCCCATTTTCTACCAGTTCTTGAAGCGAGCAAGCAAAAGAACTGAATCACTTCCTTCGTACAGTCGTTCTCCAACAATTTTCGTTGCTTACCTGCTAAAACAACTGGAGGGGATCGGGATCTGGCGCCAAGCCTATCTTGAGGGACACGCCCTTCACCAGCAGCGAACCAGAATAAAAACAACGAAACCTTGAGCAAGCGCTTTTATTGATGCATCTGTGTTGATATTCCTCAATTTAAACATTGCGCTGTAACGATCCCATAGAGGTTTAGACTTATCCACAAGAGTAGCACCAAGCTCAGTCACATTATCAGTAGAAGCCGTCGATGTTGGATCTAGAACTGTACTGCTTGTAGAGGTCCTACAAGAAGATGTAAAGCAGCGCTTAGACGTCGCGATGACGCTCGTCATCGCGAACTCTGAACACTGCCTAAGGGCATACCTATGCTTTGATAGGGGCTTTCGGTTTTATCTCCACTAGTGTTAACTAACTCAATCCTTCGAAGAGCCAGTTCACAAGTTTGAGCTATTTCCTGGCACGGATCCTGCAATGGGCCACGATTTGGCAACTGAAGGCAAAACTAGTGAGTAAAAAAGGCCCCGCAGACAGAAGTGGGCACCGCTATAGAAAGTTTCGTCTTTAGCATGTTAGATTACACGTCTTTCCTAACCCCCAACAACTCAATCTCAGCCATATCCCAAAGAAAGAGAGGGCTGCGTACTCTAATTAGAAGTAACGACCGCCGCACTTTTGGTGGGATGCTGCTGCTAGTTGGCAACTGCCATCGTGTTTCTGCCCAGCATGAAGCAGGATAGTAGCCATCTCAATTGGCAATATCCCATGAAAACGCGGGTTAGCAATATGCAGTACACAGTCACGCCTCCTCCATCTCGAGGATGGAATGTAAGACCATTGGTATACCTGCGTTAAGATTACTATGTAACTAGTTGGTGTTCCTCGTCTGTGGCGAGCTTTCCCAAGCCGAGATTACTATGAAACCCAACGGAAATACGTCTTAGTTGCGGACAATTTTACTGGGGCGACTTGGTCCGTCTGCGCTCTGAGCACAGCCTTGTTTTGAGGAAGGAGCAACACAGATTGAACGTGCGCCTCCGCTCCCAATTACATTCAGCACCGTTACCTCACAATATTCGCTCAAGAACTTTTCGAGGCTGATATGTCGCGATAGCACCAAGAGCTTCTCCAGCCTCATGGCGAACAATGGGTTCTGTCAATGGGTACCATAAAAAAAACTAAGACTTGAAGACCCACTTGAAACAAATACCTTGTTTGGCATCCTTTAATAAACATCAATCTAGTACTGGTATGGCAGTTTTATTTTGCATTGACCAAGAGCATCATGCCCAATTCGTGCTGAAAGTGCAGACTCATCGTGCAGACATTTGGCAATCCATTTTACAGATAGATCACAACCAATATTCCGTAATATGAATAGTGCACGGAATCGAGCTTTAAGTGGTTTGCTGGAAAAAAATAACAAAATTACTTTGCAAAACGAGCTATCAACAAATTTTGAGAAATTCAGAACCTTGTGTCGTTCAGTACTGCACCAAACCTATCAATCTGCTCCTTAGTGAATGTCACAACCATAATCTAAAATAGTAGGCTACTTGAATAATTGGAGGTTCATAAAGATGTTCACGTCCGATGAAGCAAGGTTTTGTGTGCATTTGCGCAATCGCAAGCTCAGACGTCAACGTTGCGAACTTTGTGATTAATTTGATTAACGCTCGTTGTTCTTTGGCGTTTTCGCCCTTGATGGATGGGGAATCCGGGAACATAGATTCCTCCTATGTAGATTCAGTGGTCAGCTCCCGCAAGGCTGTGATCGCTGTAGCCCTCTTGGAACAGTGAGATTTTCTCCAATTTCAGGTCGATATTTCATCGTAAGACATATCTCTACCCTACTGCCTAATGCCTAATTGTTGCTAGCAGGGTTAAAACCCCTCACAGCTGATAGGGAAGTCACCTCCCACGCAGAGACGAGGCACAGTTGCCGAGTGGGCGAGGCCGCGACGCGCACGCTCGCGAGGAAGAAACGTACGCGGAGATTCAATGCAGTGGTTCTCTTTCCCTGCTCGAAGATGCTTGCCTCGGATGTCACAGAAGACGACGACGTTATTGACGTGACTCAAGCTACTTCCTACTGATGGATCCTGAAGATGTGGACTTCCCTTCCCTTGCCCCTTTTGAGCCAGGTCCTGATTCACCTCCGACTCAAGCAACTCCACTTATTTCACGGAGATACTCATCTGCTCATTCTCACTTCCGCTTGGTACCTCCTTCACCATTGAATGGCCCTGAAAGTTCTTCGGAGCCGACATCTAGCCTCGGCTCAAGCCATTACACCTCTAGCACCTACTCGATGTGGGTTCGTTCTCGCCAAAGGGCAAATCGTCCCAGTACCCTTTCCGAGCCAAATCATCGTCCCACAATCCAATCTGAGCCAAATCGTTCTAGCACCTATTCTGGAACGCGGCAATTGCTCCCACCCTCACCTCCACCAATTGCTGTTCCTCCAAATCACCGCCTCATCCTTCAGCAATTCCAACGCGACCTCAACGGACTCAAGGCCCACCCTCTTCTTTTCCTTTATTTCCTGTTCGACTTGTGCGATCTTCTGCTGTAGAACTGCCTTCTCCCTTTATTGAAGATGAAGATTCTGAATCAACGGAAATTCACACAGCTCCTGAATCGACGGAAATTCACACTGTTCCTTCTGAATCTGCGGAACTTCAAAGAGCACCTATCATCATCGCACTAGATCTCCATCGTAAACGAAAATCTCCCATAAGTCAACGGTATCCCGGAGAACGAGAGATGAGCATGTTTGGAAAGCATGATGTCTTACGGTATACTATTCCTGGTAGCGAGAAGTGCTACATATTCCTGTTCAAAAGGTCAAATCATAATCACGATGTATATCGATGTAGGGAATGCAAGAAGATCGGACCTATTGTCACAATTAAGGTAAATCACATTTCTCGCTGCAAAATAGTTCCTAGTCCGTTTCAAAATTCCAACGAGTTTTTTGTTCGGGAATCTGTTAGTTTTGTTTGAAAGGTGGCTCAGAATTCATGTTGTTGCCCATTCAGTATTTTTTGCCGCCAATGCAGTATAGGTCCGCAATGATTAGAGTATATTCATCTTGGCGTGCGCGGGGCGGCAGCGTTTTGAGTGACTAGGAAAGTATAGATATCGATCT